AGGTGAATTGCGAGAGACAACAACGAACGACCCTTCGGAGGACACGCGAATACGCGATCCACCCTCGTTTTTTGCAAGAGAAACACATCAACAGAACAGTAGAAAGAGTGAGCATAGAAATAAGAAAAAGTTGATGACTTGCTTGTGTCGTCGAACCCATATATATATACATAATACATTTCGTATTGAAGCAAAAGAGAAAGAGAATAAATCCGGCCTCTTCCTCCCACCACCCTCTCTTTTCCCTCAAATATATACATATCATCTGCTACTGCTGCTGTCTCCTTCGCACTCGTGTCATAATAAACTCATCGTCATCTGCACACACTCGCATTTAATATTTTTATGTTTGTGTTTGCGGTAAATGTAGTAAACCTGTAAAGACTGATACTTAAAATAGAGTATACCCATCACTGTGGACAGGAGAACAACGACTCCTGACAATGAGGTCGTCGCCGGCCAGCAACTCCTTGACGCGAAGCCATCATCAGAAAGTCGAGAGTACTTACAGTACTTAGTGTTTGTTATATACCTACTATACCTAAGTTACTACATGTATATAGTGATAGTGTTAGTGGGGTGTGTTGTGTTTTATGACTCGGGCAGTTTACCATTATAGTGAATAAGTGAATGAGCTTATAATACATATATATAAATATATATATATATATATAGTGAAGCAATGTATGGAAGAACTTAAACTTGTAAGCTCCGCAATCTTATTAATCTCCTTTTGTGTTTTCCCGTTGCCGTGCGCATGCCTCCTTCAATTCCATAACTCTTCATCTCTGCAACAGCAACCATCATCATACTACCATTATCATTACTTATCATACCTACAACTACATTCCATTGGGTATAGAAAGCAAAAAAGAAATGAGATCCTTGTTTCAGCTATTAGCTAGAGTATATATAAATTGTGTGTATGCAATATAATTATGACGTACGGTTGTTATAATCTGTATCATTGTAAACTATACTGCCTGGATCACCTGCAGGGTGCCTGCCTGCCAAAGTGCCAAATGCCAATTCTGCGTGTTGCCGTGTATACAGCATATATAAGCAATACATACACACATGTATATAGGTTTGTTACAAAATATCTCCTTCTCTCTTCCTCTCGCCATTTTGATTGGTGAGGGAGAGGGACAGAGGGACTGAGAGGGACGGACGACGGACGGATAAGGCATATAAACGGCAGGCAGACGACTGATATGTGCTATAGGGTACACATATAGTTATATATGTATATACAGACTGCTGCTACGGCGACGACGTAGACGAGAGGAAAAATGACGCGCGATACTCTAGTGCACTCACGCGCGCCTCTCTCTCTTGTATAATACACACTCCACTAAACACTATCCTCCTCTCTCCTTTCATTCCACCCCCTCTGCGGCCTCTGCCTGCTTTGCCTCGCTCTCTATCATCCGCTCGAACAACGTCTCTCTCGTCGTCATAATCCTCCGTGTCCGTGTGTTGTTCGTCCACTCTCTTTCTCGCTCGTTTACCTCCTCGCCTGCTCTTGCTTTCGCGAGCGCGCTGGTTGCTCCTCCTCCTCCTCTCTTCTTTTCTTTCTGTGTTTTGTGCAGCAGATACTGCTGCTGCAGCTGGTGATGCGTTACTCACCCTCCCTTCCGTGAAAAATATTTGAAGTTTTGCGTGGTACTTGGTTCAGTTTTGTTGTTCTGTTAACTCTTTTTTTTTTTTTCTCTATACCTATATAAGTACATTTGCTCCGCTTTGGTCTTCTGCTGGAAGAGAGACACAATACCCGCTGCTATTGCTGTGTATAAACTATACCCATACAATTAATGTGTACGTGTGTGTTCTGATATGCTGGATGTGCTGTAACTGGTGCTTACAGGTTGAGAGGAAAGAGGTACCTACCAGATACTACTCAAAAACCATCTTCAGGGAATGCGGTTGTACGGCAACTAACTAGGCCCGGGACAGACTGGGCCACCACGTAAAAGCAGACGGCGTTAATTGTCTTGACATGGAGCTCAGCCTGGATCAACACTGATCTCTAGATGCTTTGTGAGTTGGGATATGACGTTTCTCTGCATTGCTCCTTTTTTATTTATTTATTTTTTTTTTTTATCCCCATTTTTCAGTTTAATTTATGTTTGTGCACTTTCATGTAACTGTGCACGAGATACCTGTCTGTGTATCTAGTGATTATACACATGAGTCAGTGCTAGTTGAGTGTAAACTTTGATTATTCCATGAACGTGTAAGCTATAGGTACTATCATTTTGGTGTGTGTCCCTCTGCAGAGACTAGACTAGTGGTGGGAGTGATTGTACATATGTGCATTATTCAAGAGCTCCAAGTTTTTCTTTGAGGCAGTGACTGAAATGTTTAATGTAACAAAAGTTAATCAAAGAGTTCGATATTCTGTTTCCACTGTCATATAAGTATATCAATGATATTTTGAAATTAGGAGTGAATCACTTTTGACAGTTTGTTGAAACTTGTTTCTCCTGGGTGTAACTTAATCCTTTTTTTTCTGAGTTCAATGATCTTTCATTCTTGATCATCTTTACTACTTATAAAAAATATACCCTCACACATGCGTTTATACTCTGATAATAAAGTTGTGATGAAATCAATAACTTCTTAATATATCAGTACTTTGTTCTCTGATAAACTTCTTGTGTTTATTTAGTTTTGCATTCGTATTTTTTTTTTTTTTTTTTTTATCAAAATCAACAAATACTTATAAATAAATTTTATATTCAGTATAATTCAAATAAGTGTACAATATAGCATTTAATTCGTTTAGAGGCATTTTTTTCAATTTCTTGTACACTGATAAAAAATACATTAAAGTCCAGTAATGATAGGATAAATGTAAATTATTGTCTTATCACTTGATTCATTGTATAATATATTGAATAAGATTAAAGTAATTCATTATTTACTATGTGTTACACCTCATGATTCCTCATTGGAATACTTCATAACACATTAAAATGTCAAAAAACTTTTTTTTGTAAATAAAACAATACAGTATAGAATAATCCTTGTCCATGACATCATATAAGTTTGTTGAAAATATTTAATTTTATTTGAGAATATTAATACTTGTGCAATTTTAGGTACACGATGTTAGGGCTAATTCTATATTTATTAACAACAAAAAAAAAATCATCTAATCGTTGATGGACAATTGTATCAACAGGCCAAGCGACATACAGCCAGGGCGATGGATTGATAGAGGAAGGTAAGCTGGCTGGTCAGGTTTGGATTGACGAGCAGCAGGCCTGCGCCCGCAAGAGCAGTAGGAGTAGCAGCAGTAACAGCAGCTGTGGCAGCCAGGAAAGGCGCAAGCCTACAAGGAAGAAGAAGCTGGAAGTCGAGGTGGGCAGCGTCAGTGAGGCGGCCGGAGCTGTCGGTCACAACAGCAGAAACAACAACCGGAGGGCCTTGGGCGCAGGCCGTGGTGGGTCGCGTGACAGCCAGATTATGCCGACACAGCCGAGGCCGGGCAGCCTCAAGGATCCAGAGATCGCCGAGCTCTTTGAAGATAACGATCCGGAGAAGATCTTCGAGGACTTGAGAGAAATCGGCCATGGCAGCTTCGGCGCCGTCTACTACGCGAGGTGCCTCATCAGCAGGGAAATTGTCGCCATTAAAAAGATGTCCTACCTCGGCAAGCAGACTATGGAAAAGTGGCAGGACATACTCAAGGAAATACGCTTTCTCAGACAACTTAAGCATCCAAACACCATCGAGTACAAGGGTTGCTATCTCAGGGATCACACTGCCTGGGTAAGAAACGTTTTCATTTTTCGCAGTTGCATCTAACGCTTGTGGGTTCTAATGGCAACGAAAGCATCAATAATCACTTGAACAAAAACTCATCCTCCTTCTGCTCCACTTTCTGACTCTTTGCAGCTGGTCATGGAATACTGTCTGGGTTCCGCGTCGGACATAATCGAGGTGCACAAGAGGCCACTAAAAGAGGACGAGATCGCGGCGATATGTGAGGGTGTGCTGCGTGGCCTAAACTACCTGCATTCGTTGGGCAGGATTCACCGGGACGTGAAGGCTGGCAATATCCTGCTTACGGAAAACGGTACAGTCAAGCTCGCAGATTTCGGTTCTGCGAGTGTCAAGTGCCCGGCCAACAGCTTCGTCGGTACGCCCTACTGGATGGCCCCGGAGGTCATACTAGCCATGGACGAAGGCCAGTATGACGGTAAAGTCGACGTCTGGTCCTTAGGAATCACGTGTATTGAATTGGGTGAGTAGCCATTTAATTTATATACTTACTGTTTGCAATCATATTCTTATTGTGTTTTGGTTATCCAAAATGAAACTTGTAGATTTTCCTCGATAATCATACACCTTATTATTGATGTAATTGCATAATATCTCCAATACGTATGCTATATATGACTTTATAACGTTTAAGTTTACGTATCGTATTTATTCGAAGCTGTTACTTGTGATGCTGTTGTGACAGTACGATGGCGATAATTCATGAGAATTTTACTCATTTACAGCGGAACGGAAACCGCCTTACTTCAACATGAACGCAATGAGTGCTCTCTATCACATTGCCCAAAACGAAAGGCCGACGCTGAACTCGGCCGAATGGACGGAAGTATTCCGTCACTTCGTCGAGATCTGCCTTACCAAGAGTCCTGGCGAGAGACCAGCTTCCGGGAAACTGTTATCGGTGCGTATACCAAACCGCACGCTGTAATGAATGTACATCTATTTTTTTTTCTTTTTCTTTTTTTCATTTAAATGTTACCGAAACTCTTTTCATTCTTTGGTAAGAAAAAAAAAAAAAAAAAAAATTTATGACAAATTTCTCCTTTTCAAAAAGCAGTTTTTCTATTATAAATCAACGATAAATAAATTTTACAAACATTAATAAAATCATATTGTGTTCTGCAGCATACTTTTGTAACAAGACTGCGCTCGCCCCAAGTCTTGATCGATCTTATAAATAGAACAAAGGCTGCCGTACGGGAATTAGATAATTTAAATTATCGAAAGATGAAAAAGATTTTGATGATCGACACCTGTGAAACGGAGAGTCAAATAGGCGACGCTGATGGTAAGTTTATTTGTTTCTTTGTTTTTAATGATCAACTTTAATTTGAGTAAAAATTTGACATCGCGTAAACAAGCATCTTATGAACTGACAATAAAAAAAACCAGTCGTTGATACAAAAATCTCAAATCTCTATTAAATTTTTTCTTCTTCATACTTTAATTTTAAACTTTCATTGAACAATCAGCTAGTGGCTCTTTTTTACTCGCGAATAAAAAAAAAGAAGTTTCAATCTGTTGCACGAAACGATTGTTTCTCCTGAAAACGCGGTACGACTCGCTTTCTGATACGCAGACACTCCTGACGAACAAACAGGTGGTGACAGCAGCAAGAGCAACAGCATTACCTCCGAGCACTCAATTCACTCGATGGGTGTGTCGGCAAGCTCGCAAAGTTCATCAACCAATAGCCTACCTTTACCAAACAATGCCAATGACGCAAACGACGCTTGTATTATGGCTGGTTCGATGAGAAATCGACACAACCGAATGGCAGGTGCTCAAGGCATGACCGCGAACCTCCTCGAGCACGGCGCTAACAATTTTGCGACGATCAGAACCACGTCGATCGTCACCAAGCAGCAGAAGGAACACATGCAGGAGGAGATGCACGAACAGATGAGCGGCTACAAGAGGATGAGACGAGAGCACCATGGCGCGTTGGTGAGTAGTGATTTTATTTTGTCTTATAAATACTCGGTGCTCTATGTCTCTCATGATATAAAAACGTATCCCATTTTTTATTCTTAACTAGATGAAATTAGAGGAACGGTGTAAGATCGAAGTCGAGTCTCACAAGCAGCAGCTTGAAAAAGAGTACGAAAATCTGATGCAGCAGTTTAGCAAAGAGTTGGAAAAACTACAGGCTAGGCATCATCAAGAGCTCGAGCGGAGACAAAAGCAAAATCAAAATGCAGAAAAGAAGCTTCACAAAGAAATCACGAACAGGCACGAAACTGATCGCAAGGCTCTTGAGGCTCAGCAAAAACGGGAGTACAAGGCGTACAAGGAGAGGTGGAAGAAGGAACTATCACAGGACGAGCTGACGCCAAAGCGACAACGGGACGCTACTCTTCAGAGTCAAAAAGACAGTCTCAGGCAGATGGAGGCTCAAGAGGAGCAGCGACTCGCGCGTGGACAGCGGGAGTATCTAGACTTGGAAATACGTAAATTCCGCAGAAAAAAATTACTCAACTACCATGCTCTTGAACAAGAGCTTCTTCGTGAAGTAAGTATTGTGTTTTATCGAACAACGTGTTAGTTGTTCTCATTCGTGTGACCATCAATATTTCTCATACTTTTAGGAATTGAACAAGAGACAGCAACAGCTGGAACAAGCTCACGCGATGCTTCTTCGGCATCACGAGAAGACGCAAGAGCTGGAGTACAGACAACAAAGGGCCGTTCATGCTCTGCGAGAGGAACAAATCCAACGGCAACACAACACTGAACTTAGCAATCAACGAGATTATATGCAACGTGCCGAACGTGATCTGCGTAAGAAGCATGCGCTTGAGCTCAAACAGCAACCCAAAAGTCTGAAGGTAAGCCGCATCTTTGCGATTTTTTTGTCTTCTATCGGATTAAATTTTTCATTCCGAAATTTATACTAAAAAAGAAAAAAATGATTTTTTTTTTTTTTATAAACACATGGAGTCATTCGTTTCTACGCAATTTTGTTTTTTTAGCAAAAAGAAATGCAAATCAGGAAGCAATTTAGGGAAACGTGTAAAATACAAACGCGCCAGTATAAAGCACTGAAAGCCCAGATATTGCAGACAACTCCCAAGGACGAACAAAAATCTGTAATAAAGAAATTGAAGGAGGAACAAAGGCGAAAACTCGCACTCCTGGGTGAACAGTATGAACAGAGTATTGCTGAAATGCTTCAAAAGCAAAGTATTCGTTTGGACGAATCGCAAGAAATTGAGTGCCAGGTTCTCAAGGTACTTTTTGCTTTACTCTCGATAAAATCTCAATATTTCTAATACAAGAGAAATATCAAATATATATGTATATACATATTTTTTTTTTTTTTCAAATTGTAGCAAAGATTGAATCACGAGCNTATATATATATATATACATATACAGGTTTAGTACCAGCGTGAGGGGAAGGGAGCAAATGGCGTACACGTGAGAGAAAGAGAGATGAAATGGTAGACAGAAGAGTGTGGTGCGCACTGCAAAATAGAGAGACAGAGCGGTAGGAAGAGTTTAAGAGAAGAGATTGAGGAGAGGGCTTTGGCAGCAAGGTAGGTGGCTACGTTTTTTCGTAACGCATTTGCCCTCACGTGGCCGCTCACGGCCCAGCATAAGAAGTTTAACTTCAAAAATTTCGAAACAAAAAGCTAAGGTTTTTTAAATTATTACAAAAACTGATACAGTCGTAAAGAAAAATATTATTTTTTATACAAAAATTAATAAAGATACTGGCGTAACTTTAAATTTACCATTTCTTTCAGAAATGACTTCAAAACAGACACATCCGAAAACGTATTACATGAATAAGAATCACGAGTTATACTTTGTGGTTCGGACCCATTGTACTAAAGTTAGAAATTCGAGAAGATCACATTAATAATTAAAAAGTATAGAAAGCTTGTCATTAGCGTAAATGAAATTATTGGCTCCATGGAAAAATTAAGGTTCCATCTAATCCCAAAATATAAATGCATAAAGTATAGGTGCAATTTAAGTATTAGGCAAAACATATAAAAGCATTGGATGAACTTTTTTTTTTAAAGTTTAACAAAAAATAAATTACTGATACGGTTATTATAAACACAGAAAAAAAAATATCTAGTTTACGATCATTACATGCGATTCATTTTTTACATGATAATAAAATGAATAAAAAAAAAATTTTTTTTTCAAATTGTAGCAAAGATTGAATCACGAGCTTGAAATCTTGATGGCGTACCAGTCGAAGAACAAGATGCAGGCGGAGGCTCAGCGTGATCGAGAACGACGTGAACTCGAGGATCGAGTGTCCGTGAGACGAGCACTTTTAGAAAAGAAACTCGAGGACGAAACGCAAGAGATCTTGCACGAGCGTAGTGAGCGAATACGATTGCTGCACGAAAAGCAAGAGCGTGAGCTCCATTACTTCGACGAAGAAAGCGCGAGAATCGGATTCAGGTGAGATATTTATTATATCGAAAAAATTGAGAATAAGTATCGAAAATTCCGGGTTGACGTATGAATAATTTTTGTTTTCAGTGCGTTAGCAATAGCCGAAGCTTCAAAGGAATCTTATCCGGATGACGAAAGCCTCAGCGGTTCAATGTTAAGTCTGGCTCACAGTAATAGTTCTACATCTTTTCCCCCTAATAGTCTCTAATCCAAAACCATGAAAAATAATTCGTGTTAATGAAAAATAATGAAACAATTATGTCCGCCTGTAGTCGTGCGAGTATGGAACTTTTTTTTTTTTTTTAACTTATAACACCGCACAGTTCAGAGGCAGAAGTGTGTTGACTCGCTCGAATTCCAGGTATGCGTATTGGATTTAGGTACTAGCAATGCGATCACTTCCTCGACACTTTTTTGACGTAATTTTTTTGATTTTTTGATTCCACATTTACAATCAAGTGCAATCATTCGTCCCTACGGCCCAGTTCAACTTTTCTCGTCTCTCTCTCTCTCTTTCTCTCTTCTAATTTTTATTCTTTCCTCTTTCTTTATTCTGATGCTAATATTTCCTTGTAAAAATTTTATACTCATAATAGTCTGTGTAGATATATATATTTTTTCCAAGTTATCGATCATGTTTTATCGCTCTTTCATTCGGTTTACAAAAGAGTAACAAATCAATGTTCTAATTGATTTCTATCAATTATTTTTAACATGATGTTACTCTTTTGAGATTTGAAACGCCTATTCAAAATGCATTTTGATAAAATCTAAAAATTTTGTACGAATTGCCTTGTTGTGAATATCATCATTATATTATTCAAAAGCTTATTCGAATCAAATGACTATTAAACACGTTTGACTTGCATACGGGATATTAAAATCATACGTGAACATTTTAGTATGAAGCACGTATTAAAAAAGTCCGATTTTAAAAATATTGTTCGTTGAGCACAATTTATTTCATATTTACCTCACTTTTTTCTCTTAGTAATGACAATTTTTGTAAATACCTTGGCCATTCGATTTAGTTTGTATTAGATTATGTTTTTTTTTTTTTTTTAATTTTAACGTGATGCGTGTATGTATATTTTATTATGCGTTATCTCATTATTAAAAAGGTGAAAAAATGAATTAGAAAGTCGATTTTTTAATATAATTAAAGTAAGCATACATAGATAAAAATATATTATCATACATTAAACTAAAGATGAAACTAATTAAATTTTCTCAAAGAAGCATGCCGAGTCTCTTTTCTTTAAATGTTGTTATTGTTTTATCTCTATTCTTTTTTTATAGCAACAATAAAAATTCATTTTTTAACTGACAAAAATGATAAAATATTTCTCGCGTACGATTCAGTAATATCAGTAATTCTGCAGACGTTGCTAAATTTTTAAGGTGATATTTGACATGCGTGAAAATCTTTAAGCACTAACTTTTATGGTCTTCCCAAATCCGACTATTCTGTTTTATTACATAAATGAAAATATTGACCAGCAAACTTTGCAAAATTCTAAGCCTAGTAAGATTTTTCTGTTCTGTCGCGTTAAAAGTTGACAGTAAAAAGAGCGACATGCATTTTTATACAAAATTATGTACAGATACTACAAAGGTATCATTGAAAAAATAAATACTAAAAACAGTTTTAAGAAAAAAGTTACTTAATGATGTGCGTTTTGATTATATAAAATCGCATCTCATTTTTTCCTAACGAAATAGTAATAGTAATAATAATAACAATAATAAGGTTAAAAAAAAAAAGAAACATAAGAGCTATGTGAAGCGTCCAATTGTTATGTGACACATCGACACGTGGATATGCGCTTTGATCCAGTACACATACCATTATACAAGCTGAAAAATGCAAAAGTTTCATAAACCAAAAAAGGGGAAGGGCGTTTTTAATCACATTCACTCTTTCTCTAATAGGAGAGAAAAACTTTTTATACGCAGATATTGATAAAACTAATTATATATAAATACCATTTAAACGTTTAAAAAATATCTAAGAAGAGATGAAATAAGAATAAACCTCACAAATGTAACATGTGATTAGTGGATAGGTGATTGTGACAGTTTTACGATTTAATGACGGTGCGGATTTTTATTCGTTATTTAGTAATAGAACTGTATGGCTAAACGAAAATAAGTAGACTGTAACTATAGCAAAAATAAACAACAACCATTCAAGTAGTTATCTTTTCGTTTTTGGTTGTACGTACGGGAGAAAAAGTTCATGTGAGTCGTTGGTGTATGTAATACTTTTCACAAGTTCAAAAGTAGGTAACTATTCGGTTATACACTTGTGCGTTAAAATATACAAATAAACTAGACTCTCAATATTAAAATACATGTGCAAAAAGTTATTACTAATATCAAAACCTTACTGTTTTTTGCAAAATCAACAAAAAGATTATCATTTTTGTTGTTGTCAATATTATATGGTGCCAATTTGATGATTACAATTTAATGGACTTTTATTGTAGATCGCTTAAGTTTAAACTTTGTAAACTAGAGAGGGAAAAAAACGAGTTTCGAGTGATCACCATTGGATAAATTTATTGTAATTATAGAGAAAAGTGTTGAAAATACACACAGCATGGTGTTTGTGATTTATTAAAAATTAACTGTATAGAATTATATGCCTAGTATAATGAATCAGTGGGTTAAATAAGCAGTGAAAAAAAACTAATAAACTAAAATTAATACCTAAACTAAGTATGAATTGGTGAAAAAAAATTTTGAAAATTCGCTTGTATGAAAAGACAACGAAGAATTTCTTTCAAAGAGTCGTAACGTATGGAACATATTGAAAAATGTCACAATCAGCCGATTTATTCTTCTTTTCAAACAAAAAAAAACAAAAAAAAAATACACACAAAAACTATAAGGCAAGTCTGCTCACTGCGATTACACATCATTGTTCATTAAAGATATACAAAATTAACACGAATAATATTTATTTATGTATAGATTCGATGGCGACAGAACTACGCTAAAGATTGTTATGTATTATTTTTCATCGCAATTATTATTATTTTATTCGTTGATTATTGTCACGGTAAATAAATAATTGAAGAAAAAAAATTATTCGCTAACAAAATGCATGACTTAAGTATCGCATAATTTTTTTTTTTTTCACACACGTAAACTGCAATCATTTGTTAAAGTGATATATTTGTTTGTATGAATAAAAAAAGCTTTTATATCATAATGTATAGTCTTTTGATATTCAAATGATATGTTACTTTTCGTTTTCAATATCCAACTATTCATTTTTGTAAACACAAAAATCAAGAAAAACAAATTCACATAATATGATGAATCGCAGCGAAGCAACAAATACACACACACACACACACACACACATTCAATATCGAAGCAACGAAACAAAAAAATATAGACGTGACACAAGAAGCAGGATATCAGCGCGAACTCGATTTAGATGAGAATCAGCGTGGTTTTTTTTCTCATTGCATTAATTTGATTGCTCTCGTGTGTATAATGCTGTGCGGTATCGTCACGAAGAGAAATTTTTATTAGCACTGGAAAAAAAAATTGTAGATGAATTATGTGTTTAATAAGAAGGAATAGGAGCTCCAAGTTTAGACCAAAGGTCAGAACTTGGAGCTTCGCCGATATAAGTGTATGTGTTAGATACGAGAACAGAATAATCTCAGTGTTTTGTTAGTATTGTGTATATAGACAAATACAGAATATCGATTATAAACGCATCTGTGTACGTACAAACGTACGACAAAAATACGTCTACTTTGAAGAGAACAAAAAAAATTATAAGTTTATAGATCGAAACACAATATCAAACAAGGCCACTTTAAAAGTGTAAAAAATATGATATTTTCGTGGGTGTAATAATATCGTCAATTAGCTCGCGCAATGGAGTAAATAGGCATTTTCATTTTTGTAGATTTTCTACGAGAGATTTTTTATAATAAAACGCAAAATCGCTTTTATATCATATACATGTGTACAATATACGCAACATTCCTCGACACGTTTGCGCGACGCTTCGATTCAACGCTGTGTCTTTTACATTTTTAAAGTGTCTACGTCAAAACCCCGAAATATAAACATCCAGCCAAAGATATGGAAAAGAAAATTTGTCCAACTTGCTAATTAAAGAATTAAGAGGTAATTTTTCTGTAAAAGAGAAAGAGAGAAAAACGTGTTTCTTGTTATTGTCATTGTTGTTGTTGTTGTTGTTGTTCCTTTTTTTTGCTACCATTTATTCCTTCTTTCTCTTCATTATTGATTTGTTTTCTCTCTTTTAAGATTTGGTTGTAAATTTCGAACCGACGATTGCGAGGATGACGACGGTCATGCAGGTCAAGAATTTCATTAAGTAACGTCTAGTGATGAGGCTCTCGTGGCTGTAATCTTTTATTTCTGACTAGCGGGAGAAAAAAAAAAGAATTGTAGAGCAATGTATGTATGCCTAGTAATATATGCTGTCGTCGTTATTTTTTTGTAGCCTTACGAAACAAAAAAGTTATTTCATTGTTTAAGAAAAAAAAAATAAATAAAAAAAAAATAAAAAAAACCGAGAAGATGCGACTATCTCCCAAGGAATGGTGTCTATGTGTATTGGAGTAAAACTCCCGAAAATCCTCCGGTATGATGATCGAGTGCCCGGGCGTGTCCTCCTTCTTTCCTCGAAAACTTTGCGAATCGCTCCGTACACATCCGCAAGACCGAGTAAGTCGCATCTATTAACCTCGAGAGTTCCGCGCACGCGTTCATCAATATTTGTCTTCTTCGGGTGGGGGGGGGGGGGGNTCGATTTGTTAAAAGAAAAAAGAAAAAAAAATTAAAGTTTAATGTAGAGTGTAACCTTGTATGATTTGTTTGAACATTTTTGCGAATTTTAGGTACCTCTCAGCCGTAAAACCTCCGCAGAATGGGTCTGAGAAAAAAAAAAGAATTTTTCAAAACTGTGAACTTATACATATAATACATACGCAAATCACGAAGAAAACTTTTATACACACGTAGACGTAAGCGGTAAATAAATTATACATATACATATATATAGGGGAAGGGCGTTTTTAATCACATTCACTCTTTCTCTAATAGGAGAGAAAAACTTTTTATACGCAGATATTGATAAAACTAATTATATATAAATACCATTTAAACGTTTAAAAAATATCTAAGAAGAGATGAAATAAGAATAAACCTCACAAATGNGTAAAATGGACAAATTAAATTAAAATAAACACATCTTAGTATGTAACTCAGTACTTTTTTTGTACAATCACGCGAGAGAATAAGAATAAATTAAAAATTAATAAGACAAAAAAATCTGTGCAATGTCGAACAGCGTGTGCGTGTTGTTATAATCAATATGACAATGAAAATATGTATTAGGCAAGTAAGTACGTACATCATAAGAAGAAAAAAAAAGAAGTACATAGCTTTATGCTAGAAAGACTAGAATCAATGGGTCCCTCACTCAAGTTTATAATATCCCCCCTTTACTTCAATAGTCACACAGGCGTAAGCAAATGTGTGTTGTTGCATGTTACGATTTGGTGTCAGTCAAATTGTAATTTATGCCTCTACTTATTGAGTTATAAAAAGTGAGGGAGAATGACGAAAGGCCACCTTGTGTTGTAAAACGTACTATAACTCATTTTAAATATTGTCTATATTTCACTTGAATGTGCAAAATAGAATTCAGAAAAAAAGAGTGCGATGGAGGTGAGAAAAAATTAAAAGTTAAAGATTAACAAAAAAATTGTAGAGTATGTGCGACTAAGCAACAAAGCGACGAAAAAAAACCCAGAGAAAAGTTGTAAGCATACGTAGTCCGACAATTTTTTCAAGCTATATTTAAAATATGATCATGACAATTATTTTTATCCTCAAACTTGTGTAGAGCTTTTAGTACATTTTCTAACTTGAAAAAAAAAAAACAAAAAAATGAAATGAAAAAGTATGGTGTTATGATTTTATGAAAGAGTAAGAAAAATTTCAATAAATAATGTAAAGGCACTCGAGTAACGCGCAATGAAGATGGTGCCCGAGTGTATTGACGTCAATCGAAGATTTCAGCAAAGGTGATCGAAAGAAAAAAAAAAAAAAAAAAAAAAAAAAAAATTATCGGAGCCCGAGAAATGAAGCTCCTCGAAGCCGCAACGTCGATTAGATAATAATAAAAAAATTGATATTAAAGATACTCAAGTTACTGTATTTTGTATTTCATTCCCGTAGATTTTACATGTGCTTTTGCGCTGTACAAATTCCTCTTTAACATTGTCGTTTTTACTAAAATTAAAGCTACGTATCTTTACTTTTCCCACTGCACCTTATCTTCTTTCCATCTCGTAACATGATTCATCGATTATTCAACAAAAATAACAACAAAATATTTCGAGCCCATAGTGTTACATGATTAACGTTTCTTTTATATCCTTACATTTCTAGTTTTATAAGTTCCATATATAGTCGAAAAAACATGCTATTTATACATATCGCGCTGCTGCGAACCATTCTTACTTCATTTCTGTACATCTTCCTTTTATCATTAGTAAATTACTATTGCACATACTTTGCTAACAAAAGTGGAAAGCTCTTTTTCCAAACGATAATTTTTTCGATTTTAATAATTATATTATTTTATTATCGACACCTCTGTTGGACGTATGTACGAGTAATGATCGTATTAATTGGCATTTTTTTCCTCACTGGGTGGGCGAAAAAGAGGTAGGGTTGAGGATACGACAGTGCATCTCACGGATGAGAGGTACCGTGTAGGCAACGCACTCATCCCAGCCAGGTGATCGCCAAGCACTCTCACGTGTTTCTTTACGCTGCTGCAGATCCTTGTAACCTAGAATTAATTAACAATAATTCATTTATATTTTAATTTCATTATAGTATGAAAATAGAGCTTTTTGGTGGCTGGAAAAAAAAAAATTAATTTATGCTCAGAATTTCTGTTTATCGTAATTACTTACACCAAATATGATGAACATTGTAGAGGCGTCCTATTTGCGAGAAAAAGCCCGCAAAAGCTTCATCGTTATTGCGTCTGAAATTGACTGCTCTGGCCCAATTGTTTCCCCATTCAATCATTGTACCGGGTTTTAAACTATAGCTTCGTATTTCATATTTATTCACGCCCTCTCTTAAAACTATTTGTGGCCAATAACTAAATGCTAACAAATATTGTAAATGCCGCGATCTCAAATAGTTTCCGCGTTCCTTGAGTAGTTTTTGGTAATCCTAAATCAGAAATTTATAAAAATTTTCATTTATTTTAACACTTAATTAAAAAAAAAGAAAAAAAATTACCTCATCTTTGGCAAGTAGATTTTGTGCTTTATCTACAATTTGGAATCCTCCACTGTACTGCCACAAGTGGAGTGCTTGATCTAAATCTCCAACTTCAACAGTCCATGACCCAACAAGTTCTAGATTCAAGTCTTGTTTTTTGGAATGAATAAGCGCAACATTTTGAGAACTACGGGACGCAAAAATTCTTTACTCACAATATGTTCCATTGAATTTGGTGAAATGTAATTTACAATAATTATTATTATTATGCAATGGAAATTTTACTTTCGCGAGTCCACTTCTCTTCTTATCTTTGTAGCTTTTGACGTACTTAATTCTTGCAAAACATCCGGGATAAGATAAAACCTTCACCTAATCGTTTTGAGCAATGCCAAGATCGTTATTTTATAATTCTAGAAATTTTAAATAGCATCATAGCCCATTACGGTATTTTAAATCGACTTTTAAAGGAAAACAGTTAAAGAAACTCTGTTGATGTTACTGATTTTCTCAGAACAGTTTGACGTTTTTCATTAACTTTTATCGAATGTCATTCTGACGTTTAATTTTGCTCCACTTAACTAATAGCCTTTAGTAAACAACATGAGCTTGAGAAGACTCCATTAAATAAGTACCATGTAGGCAAAAAGGAACACTCGATGATAATAAAAATTAAATCCTTTTGCAGCAGCTAACGAGCTGCATTTGAAATAAAAAAAATTTTCCCAAATGTACCGCTGTTGTGGTCGAATGGTAAAATAATATACATATATATACATATATACTCACTAATTATTCAAATATTTGTCGTAGGAGTCAGGGCGAATGTTGTGGGTGTGTAGCGCGTAGATGACCTGCTTGTCCGAGAGCATTCGCGAGTGCGACTCCTTGGTCGGCTCGATCTTCCTCACGAGTAACTTGCTGAACCATCCTTCGCTTATGTCCTGGAGGTCGGCCGATTTGGTCAGACACCTGCAGATCGTCCCCAAAAACAAGAATAAATTACCAAAGCTCTTTTTTTGTATCACGAGGACGAAAATAAACGCAGCATTAAACTATTGGGAGCAGCGAATATTTGCGCGTGACAAGACAATTGTATCAAAATATTGTGGGGATAGAAAAGTACATCATAATTATATACTTGGAAATATGAATAAAAACAGATAATTAAACCTGGCATTGGGCGTTTGGATGAAAGTCGATCTACCGCTGCAGGAGGCGAGAAGCGGCTGCTGGAGAACAGCTCCAAAGTACCTTCTCGTCACGGCAGCCATTATTGCCCGCGAGAGGAGAGGATTATAATACAAGTATTTTATTTCTACTCTATCTCAATTCATTCGGCAGCCCCCGGCACCCACGCAAACACTTCTCTCTTTCTGTGGGTCAAGTATACCTATGTACAAGTTCTTTATAACATTATCAGAGCAGAATCAGAACTAAGTACAGCCATATGTTTATGTATACTTAAGTATATACATGTGTATATATATACCGAGATCTCGATGAAATGTTGTGATATTTTTGTGTGATCATAAATCATAAATATAGCAGACGACGGTGGACGGCGGACGGCTCCTATCTCCTATATGAGCGCGTGTGTTATATATATATATATGTGAAAAATTATTGTACTACTGGATCTGGAAGATGTTTGTTACATATACTTATTATGTAAATTATACGCATATAGGTAATTGGGTGTTATGTATTCTAGCCACACCCATCATTACGAATATATAAAAATAAAAATACAGGGTACAGCAGGTAGTTATGTTCGTACTCGAGATGGTTTTACCTTTGTCTAAATATTAATTGTTAACTGATTCTTTGAAAGTTAAATTAAAAATTTCGAATGTTTAGTTGCGGCGAATGAATACAATGAATTACAAATATTTAAACCTATTGGATGTATTTTGTATTGTACGGCGTTTCTACCCTACTGACTGCGTGATATCTATGTATGGTATTGATTATTTATTTTAACTATATAATACTTTAAAACTATATAGTTATCAATGTTTTAACGTATAAAATAACGAGAATACAAGCATATTCAAGAAAACTAAAAAAGTCTCATTATAGTCATTATTAATTGTTATTTTTTACATAAATATATGGATTGCGATCATGCAAATAATATTTAAAGTAAAAATAATTTAGTCGGTAAGGTAGAAACTTCCGGTAAAACACGCATTGGCAGTTCCCCGAGTTGCCACGTGTATAATTATGCGCTCTTGTTCTTGACTTGTTCTTGTTGTGTTGTGTTTTGTGTTTGTGCATGCTATATGTGCTCTTGCGACTTGCGACATTTGCGTGATTCTCGTTTTTTCGTGCAAACAGTGACCACATCAGCGATTTAATCTTTTTGATTTAATTATAAAGGAATTGGTGTTTTTTTTACATCTCTCGAGTAGGTAAGTACGAAACACTTGATATGGTTTTGTCCTCTGTTGGGTAATTTTTCTTATTCGTGCATTAAAAATAGCAACTATTAACTCTACGAAAAGATAACGTAGAACAAAAAAAATCCCGGCATGCTTACACGTATTTTGTACTGTTGCTGATCTTAAAAAGAACTTGTAGAAGAAATGTACTTGAATAAATTACGGATTGCCTTTTTTTGCGTTCATACAAGTTGCGTGGGACGAAAGCGTTAAAAACAGACTCAATAATTAACATTTTTTAATGCGTAGCATGCCCGTGAGAGTGTGTGTGTTCATATGTGTGTCGGACACCGGCACACGCGTCAAAGAATTTGCTCGAATTTGCTCGAAAGAAATGAAAAGAATATAAAAAGGGACAAAAAACCACGTCGCTATTGTCTGTCGGCGACTTGGCGATCGGCACAATGCAAATATCGCCTTTTTAAACACTCAAATTGTATTATTATTCGAATAAAAATTTTAAAGGTCTCTACTTCATAGTTTTTTATTTATTGTTCAAGTATAAAAATTTACCCTCTAATTTGTGTATTTATTACATTAAGATTATACATTCGTTGAGATAACTACGCAATATAACCTAAATTTAATTCTTTGTAGTCTTGAATGAAATATTTTTCAAGAGTAAGTATTACTTACTTTAATTGTACTAGGTATGATTAAATTTCATTATTAACATATTTGAAAAATCAATTTAATCATCATGATGGACCAAATTATCTATACTCTTAGAAATTATTGATAAATTAGAAATGTGTAATATTCTATATTAAAAAAAAAAAGAATTTCAATTTGCTAAAGATTATTTTATTTGCATTACAGATTGAAAGATGAAGGAATCATTGCCATTTAGTGATGAGCAAATTGCACAGCTCAAATTATTCATTGAGTCGTGCAAATTGCAGCCAAACGTTCTTCACCATCCTAAACTTACTTTCTTCAAAAGCTACTTACTCTCGCTAAGAGCTCAACTCCCAAAGCAAGAAGAGACAAAGGAATCCGAACCTGCTCCTGTGAGTGAAAGTGAAGAAAGTGAAGGAAGTGATTTGGAACTTGATACAACCAATGTCATAGGTAAAACTTCAACATTCATTATTTTTTATTTACAAAGTTTATTTCTACCCTTGGCACTTGTCAATCGTTACAGAACCAGATACAGATGAGCCCCAGCCTATGGGTGATGTAGATGCGGAACCAACAGAAGAACAGATTGACCAATCCATAGAAAAACGTTCAGCAGCAATGTCTGAATATCGCGCCAAAAACTACGATAAAGCCATCCAGCTCTATACAGAGTCCATTGAGTTGGACCCTACATCGCCGATCTCGTTTGCAAAACGTGCCCAGGTCTACATCGCCTTGAAAAAACCAAACGCCTGCATTCGTGACTGTGAACGTGCCCTTGAGATCAATCCTGACAGTGCACTCGCGCATAAAATGCGGGGTAGAGCAAATCAGCTGTTGGGTAATTGGGAAGATGCTGCTAGGGATTTGAGAGTAGCTGTCAAGTCTGATTTTGACGAAGAGGCTAATGAATGGCTGAATGAAATTACACCAACTGTAAGTAATCTTTTTCTACATTCAAGTACATTTTCAACATAAATAATAACTACAAAAAACTACCAAAAAAGCCAACATAGATATTTGCTCATATAAAGCATTTATTTTAGTCATTGTTTACTTTTTTACATTTTTCGTCGTTTTTCGTAGTTTTTTGTATTCATACAATTATCCACAAGATGAAAATTAATCAAGCACTTGTGGTTTTTGGAGTCATGTTTGAAAATATTCCGCGAAATTTCTAAATTTATCTTGGTTGTAGTCTACACTTACTTATTTACTTACCAACAATGATTCAAGCACTAATTTTAAATTAAAAGTTATTTCCCCACTCTTCTTGCACTTTCATTCTAAAAATACATTTATAAATTCACAATTCAACAAGAAAATTTTATTCGAGGATATGTAAATAACAATAAAACGCATGAGTAGGGAATTTTTAAATTTTTATTGACTTTTTTTTAAATTAAATTATGTCGCGAATAACCTAACGCAAAACATTGAACCATCAAAATAGCGCTCTACCACATTGTAATTTATGCTTTGAACACTTTTGCATAAAACATTTTTCATTATCGTTTAAATAAAAATTATTATTGTTCGAAATTTTTTAAAACTTTTTCAAAACTTTGATATACGCGAAATTGGCAATACAAGAGTCGATGATGCACATATATTTAGGCAGTACGTTCAGAAACGCGTAAGTTAAAAAAAAAATTAAAATCATGCTCGATCCTAAAGCTACTAATATATTACTTTAATATTGATATCTATTAATCCTAATATCATTACAAGTATGATATGAATAATCTCAATAGAAAAGGAACTTTGCCGAGTTGAAATATTTAAAAAATAAGTAAATTGATTATTTTGAAAAAAAAAAATATTTTTATTCTACCAAAAAGCGTGTCCTCACATTTCAACAATGAAACAACAACACAACGTTCAAAAACTTTAGGTTTTCAATAATCTAGCCACAACTCGCCATTGTTCCTCAATACTCGACATATTAAATAATAATGAGAATAATCATGATAAGAATAACAATAGTTACATTAAATCAGAAGTATATCAACAGAAGGTGCACAATATCTCTGTCGGCGGCTGTAAACTTATGTACAGCATTTGCAAATTTTTAAGAGACAGTTGAATTGTAAACATAATATTATTGTTCATCTTTGCTCAATTATTAAGAGCACAGTTTGTTAACTTTTTTTGCTTGTGATGAAAGACAAGGAAAAAATAAACGTCTAGTTTTTTTGGCCGCTCATACTTGCTCTCACAGACTTGCATATTTTTACATTTTTTTTATTTATGTATTTTATTTTATTTATTTATTTTATTTTTTTTGACGAAAATCATAATATGTATTGTTGTCGTTATTGTCACGGTAAAACTTAACAACAGAAAATTTTACTTGATACATCACATTTTGTGCGACGTGTCACGTTAAAAGTATTTTTTAAGCTGCATATACTTGATGCCAAACTTTCGTTTTGGTGTTCTTTAATCATCAAATAAGAAAACGGTCATTGAAATCATCTTCCATGACGTATGTTAAATTGGTAACTACATAAAAAAAAGGAGAAGAAAATAATGTTCAAAGAGAGGAGAGAAATAAATTCATGTTCGACAAAATAGGTATAATAGTTCAAGGTGTAATCATACATTGAATTGCACAATACTAAACTATTTCCCTCTTGGTGTAGTAACAATTTGACAGGCTTTGATCATGCCTTTCCTTTGTCCTTCTCAACCTGCCCGTATGAGGACTGAGAAGGAATCTTTGGTCTTCTGTAGTCATGTTCTCAATTTTATTTTATAGTTGAAAAAAAAAAGGAAAAAGAAAAAAAAGAAACTCGATATTCGGCAGACCAGCTGATGTGCGAGTAGGCACCATCAGCATCTTGATCCGAAGTACGAGTATGCGTGTACATGTTGTCAGCTCACAATTGTACTTAAATCGTCTCCAGCGAAGAGAAGCGGTGCCGACAAATCGTGGAGTTTTGCAAAATTTTCGTGGAATAATCGATTTTGGAAACATCCTAGATCTGAAAAATCGTCAACTGAAGCCTATAGAGAAAAGGGTAGAAAGAAGAAAAAAAGGCACGCAAGAGCTTGTAATGAAAAGTCTCCAAGAGGTACCGGCACGGCGCATCATCAACCGGGACCACCTCAACTGAACGAGAGCCTCGAAGCACCACTCCTTGCGGGCTGCTTTTTCTGGTTGGCAGCATCAGGAGTTTCGGGCTTGGGCGACGCGGGAAGAGGAGCGGGTGGTGAAGAGAGGAGTGACGTCGAGTCGTCCTGTTGGACGGTGGCTCTCTTGTACTTGCCGACGAGCTCGGGCAGGTCGTAGGCTATGGCGACGTCGAGCCTATTGATGGGACAGCCCCGGAAGTAGGTGCAGGTCGAGCTGAGCAGGGGGAACTCGTAGAGGGAGTTCAGCCGGAAAAAGTCGCGGTAGACGTCCGGGTCGGGCAGGTCGTAGCGCGATATGTTGGTCAGGGTGCTCAGGCCCTCGTAGATGTGGTAGTCTTGCGGGCTCTCGATTATCCGATCGCTCGTGTCCTTTTTCTTCGCAAAGAAGCTCTTCTGGTTGTAGTAGGTCGTTAGGTAACAGTCCACCATCTTTGCGTGGTTGCGCACTCGAACCTTTGGTTTTTCATTTTTTTACAAGGGAAGAAGTTTTATTTTCTTTTCGTAAAAATGCTCGATTTTTTAAACTAAAACCCACCTTACTGACGTATAGGTATATATTGTTGTATCCAGCGTTACTTGAAATATCATTCACAATCACAAATCGGCAATATACCGAAGCATGTTTGTGAATGTTTATCTTTAAAAATATTACTGTGAAACTCAATCAAAGACGAGCGTATTGTCGGTAAGGTCGGTTTGTACTTGACAATTGAATTATCCAAATAAAAGTACGTGTCGAGTACTCACAGCGAATCTCCTGGCGCTGGCGATCTTGTGCTCGACCCGTTTGTCGATGGCGGTGCGTAAGTCGCGGAGGAAGGCGCGTTCCTGGGCGTAGAGCAGCCTCGTGGGGGCGCCAGCCTCGTAGGGTATCGACCACAGGGACGCGGAGTACATTATCGGCGGCTCAGCGCTCGACATGAGCGGCGAAATGTTCCAGATTAAGGCGCCCTGCACTCGCATCAGCTCCTCTGGTTTCACCTGATCCGCCTTGTTCAGTATGATCCTCGTCTGGCGTTGGTCAGTTTTTTTCTCTTAGACAATGTTTTTTCAATCGAAAAACAACTTTTTTCCATTTACCTGGTATTCGCGTCCCTTGAGCTGGTCGAGAATGGCTTCGGTTTCAGGTCCAACGTCGAGCTTGGACGGGTCGTAGACCAGGAAAATAATGTCCGCCCTGTCGATGAACCACTGGCATGCATCATTGAACGGAAACAGCCTCTGCACCTGTTTTCGGATCTCCAAGATTCCGGGGATCTCGACGATGTTTACCTGCATCCATGAGTCAATTTATTTTGTTTGTTTCTTTTGTCATTGGCGATCGTAGAATCTTTTTTAATCAGTTGTTTTTAATTTCCAGCATCTCACCTTTTCGAGCAGCTTGTTCTTTAGCTTGTACCCTTTCAGACGATCGAGCAATCCCTGACCAAACTTTTGGAGTCCCGAAAACGTCCAGTCGGCGGCCAACTGGGTTCCGTCCAGTACCTCCTCCTCCTCGCCGTGCATCAAAATATTGAAGTAAGCCGGCGACGGTTCGGCACCTAATGCGATTCATTCGTAATTTGTGATTTCGTTCATCTCGTGACAACATTCACTCAAATTCAAGACAGACCCGTTCTCAACGACGTTGCTTTGTACTCCATGTCCAGTAGATAATTGATGATGGACGATTTACCCCCGCTCCAGGGACCCATGAACAGTACCAAGGGTTTTGAAAAAATTTCTGGATCTAAACGCATCCAAACAACAACGTTCGTCAAAACAACAGCCAGGTTAACACATGTGCAGCTAAATTACCTCCAAAGTGACGATTGCTCAGATCTCGGTACTTGTAAAGAGTCTCCAGGGGCTTGATGGCATTGTCGTAGAGCCTCTTGAGGTCTCTTAGGATAACATCGGCCACCCTCTCGACGGCCCTCTCCTTATCCTCGTTTTCCTCGTCCAACTTGAGCAACTGGTTTACGTGATCCCTGGGCCTGAGTATCTCCGGGATCTCGATCTCCATGATCAGCTCTTCCTCCTCCGGCCTCGACTCCTCCTCGACTCCATCTCCCTCCGCCTCCACTTCCCCACTTCCAGCGTCTCCCGAGGCTTCCTCTTGGCTCTCCCCTTCATCTGAAACAAACGCCCAGCCATCCGATTGTACAACCCAAACTATACGACAATCACGTCTCCCTCCATATACCCACCACCTTCCCCTGATTTTCCAGCCTCGACCTCCAAAGACTCCCCGGCCTCTTCTTTCTTCACCACCTCCTCCTCCTCCGCCTCGGCGCTCTTTTCACTCTTTTCACCCTCCTTTGCTTCCTCCTCTTCCTTACTAACTGCCTCGGCTGCCGGCTCAGGTTCCTCCTCGACTACAACTACCGCCTCCTTCTCTTCTTCCACGGTTTTATCCCCCTCCTCCTCCTCCTTTTCCCCCGAATCTTCCTTTTTCTCTTCTCCACTGTCCTCCTCGGACACTCTCTGCTCCCCGCTGTCGGCAGCCTTGTCCTCCTCTACAGACTCTGTTTGCTGCTCGACTCCTTCCTCCCCCGACTCCCCTTCGGCCCTCTTCTCTTCCTCGGGCTCGCCCTCGTCTTCACCGCTCTTCCCCGAGCCCTCCTTCTGCTCCTCTTCGGATGCCTCCTCCTCGACCACCGCCACCTCCTCCTCCTCCTCCTCTACAATGGCCTGCTCCTCAGTCTCTCCCTCTTTCTCCTCCGATTTGTCCTCTTCGACAAAAAAGAAAAGATTCACCACAATAGCCCTCGCACACCGAGCTACCTACCTCGAGACCCACCAAATTAGATGCATACCTTCGGTTAGATCGGCTGCCTCCTTGGACCCGGCCTCGTCCTCCTCGGCTATCGGCACCGGCTCCTCGCTGCCCTCCACCTCCGCGCTGACCGCCTCGCCGTCCCCATCGTCGCTCTGGTCGTCATCCTCGACTCCAGGCGCGTCTCGCTTCTCTCTGCCATCCTCCGATTCTTCGTCCTGGGGATAGAGCAAGTCGGTTTTACCGCGGCAAATTTGGATAAGTACTAACGCATTCGAGATAACTGTCAGAGAGAGAGAGAGAGAGCGATTTTTCACAATCTGACAAAAGTAACACGCCGGCTGTCGAGAAAAATTGCATACGCCCGTGCGGGGTATCACACGCACGCACGTCAGTTTTCTCTCTCTCTCTCTAGATCTGTTATATTTCTGGACTTTGAGGTTGCACTCTAGTTCGCCCGGAATCCGCGTGCGCGTTAAATTTGACTCTGGTGAAATCTTCGTATACCCAAAGTGTCCGCGTATTTTTAGAATCCTCCTCCCCTACGAGAGAAGGGGGGTAGGGGTGGGAAAAAGAATAAAGTTATAACGTACAATGCAAAGGATCACGTGCGAAACGGTCCATCGTTGTGGACCGTTGTGCTTGAGTCAGCCGAACTTACGTTTTCGTTTGCATCGGCGGCCGATTCTTCCGCTGGCCCTTCGTCGTGCTCGTCGTCCGCATCTTCCGTCTGCTCCTCAGATCCTTCTAAACATTGGGTTTTTTTTTTTTTTTTTTTTTTTTTTTTTTTTTTTTNGTGGGGCCCCACCGCCGTCCAAGCCCTCCGAGCCCGATGACTTTGGTCTGGATTAGAGGGGACGAGCTCCAAACATTGGGTTTTTTTTTTTTTTTTTTTTTTTTCTTCTTTAACAATGGTAGTACTTAATTTTTTCATTCAAAGCGTTTCAATGTCATGCGCTGTTCGAATAGAAAAAGTGTATTTGAAAAATGGATCGTCGCAGTTGCGTGTATTTTATTTTAGTCGCGATTCGCGAGCAATAGCCGAGTGTACGTGTATACGTGGACAAGCGGCGTTACGCAGTTGACAAATATCGTACACGTCTGAGGGCAAACGATGCCAAAACGTTGAAATTATTCGGTGCCGTCGAATCCACCTCGTTCGAAACGCAAAACACTCGCCGTACGATAAATTTTTCTCTTTTCTTCAACAATTTTATGTAGAAATGTATTTCATATACACGCATATGCGACTCGATTCCGTAAAATTGTTGTGCGCTTGTGTTGAAGCCACTACCTCGTACCCCGAGACTTTACCTGTGCCCAAATCCTTCAAAGCTTTCTCAATGTAAGGCCGACATTGGTCCTCTGAGGGTACTTTTTCCAGCTCCTCGCCTTGCACACCTATACAGTTATAACCATCAGTTCAATGTTGTATACTTTTGCCTCATCGACAAAACGAGATTTAATCGAGCGCATCCCTCGCAAGACAAAATCGAGTTTGGAAAATCGGTAGAAACTTCTCTCGCGCTACGTGATCTTGGCCGGGGAATATGCCGATTCGCTCCCCTGAGCTAGACGCGTATACATACAGATAGAGAGGGGCTCTATATAATATTACGCGAGTATATGTAATACCTGGGCCGAGGCCGAGTGTTCTAAGTTTAGCTAAGACGGGTAGGCGGCACCGCACCACGCGCGCACAGCTGAGATATATCTCGCCGCCGGCTGCTGTATCTTCCTCCCGACACTTATTACATGAGCAAAAATAATATTTCCTCCCCTGTCTCTCCTTTCGATGTATCTTTTTTTTTTTTTTTTTCTCACGTGTACAGGGTTATTGGTATACGCATAGGGTGGATCATCGATCGCGTACCGATCGCGCGGACCAAGGTGCATTCCGATGACAATGTCGAGTTGTTTGAATGTTACTTAAAAATTAACAAAGCTTAATGAGAAAACGAAAAATTGTAGGTGGATGAATATCGACAAACCCGAGGTCTCGAAAATGAAAAAAAGCAGCAAGAAGGAAAAAGAAAAAAACCGCCAAAGTAGGAAAAAGAAGAAGAAGAAAAAAAAAAACATAATCCCGGTGACTTTGACACTTTCATAGTTTTAGGTGAGATTGACGCGCCATTGATGTGCACATAGATAGATATACACATGAAAAGTATTTTAAATGGGGCCAGCAGTGGTCCGCGGCTGTTTTTAAATGACTCGCGACCGCATCGACTTGACCGTGACGGTCGGGAGACCAAGGGAGTGGGGTACCAATGTCAAAAGCGTCAAGTCGGAGGAGACGATGTCGTTGCTGGTACAGGGTGTACAAACATCTATGTACATATATGCGTGGGCCTGGAGTTTTTGGGCGCGAGTTTCGTCGTTGCCAAAATTATCCGGGCTGCGGGGGTCAAGTGTTGCCGGAGCCTCGTTTTTGACCGGTAACCGAGTCGACGGTGAGTTTTCCCGAAATCTCGCATATAGACTTGGCATGCTAACAATTTACATCACTTTGGTCGCTGGTTCAGGTTGATCGTTCAATTGGATCGTCGAACGATCGTTTCCTCGGCGCAACTAATGATTTTAGACTATAGGATGTCGAGATAAAGGTTAAAAATAGTCAACAATGCCTTCACTCTGCAGCCCATTTCGATCTAATAACTCAGGCTGTAATGACGTTAATGACTTATTGGCACGATCTATACATCTTTTTTTTTTTCTTACTTTAAAATAGACGCCGCGGACGATGTAAAAATATTTCCTGCCGGCTATTTTCGATCGAGGCTTCCTTCGCAACGAGAGCGTGAAATTGTAATTTTTGTCCATCGAAATGAATCGAGTAACGTCTCGAAGTGTACTTTGATTGGCAGTCATTGTAAATGCGTTATTTATGGTTGTTACCGATCCACTACTTCGTATGGGCACCAAAAAAAGCAAAAAGAGCAAACCCTGAGCTGATGAAATGGCATGGTCGAAAAATTATCATCGGCCAACGTTGGACGGGGAGCCGCGCTTACGTAATTAGCTCGATCCGAAAATCCACGAAATCGGCGAGGTGTGCTGTTTTGCAAAATCCCCAGAGATTCCGACAACCGATTTCATTGATTATTTATGATTTTAGACGACTTCTGGAGGAAAAAAAAGCCACAGAAGATCAAAGTTCGTTGCGCCAAGATGACGCGAAAAACCAAAATTTTCCCCCTCGCACCCTTACGTAACACCCAATTGTAAGACCTAAAAGTACGAGTGAAACGAAGAACAGCAATCGCCTCGAGTAACCGACCAAACGCGGAGGAGGCGCCAAGTTTGGCACTGAGGGTCCTTATTCGGGTGAAAAATTGTTTCCCTGCCCTCTGGTGGTGCTGGCGTTGACTTTTCCTTCGCGCACTCGACGGAGAATCACCTCCGAAATTCGTGAAAAATCGCAGGATCGAACAAACGCGTCAAAGGCCGATTCAACAGGTCACACGGGAAAGGGGAAACGATATCTCATCTCCGCGCACAAGAACAAAAAAACGCTGCACTTGTACGAACAAATCGGGTATTGTTCGCGCGATCGAAGGATGCGCTCGATATCGTCGCCACGTCCACACTCGGGAGAGGGAGCACCACTTTGTATTGATTGTATACACGCGTATGTACCCTGCAAGGTCACGGCTAGAAGGAGGCCCAGCAGGAGGCCCGCGACGAGCAGTATCGCGGGTCTCGTTCGCGTCGAGCCCGTCATAGCGTCACAACACGTCCCTCGAACGCACCACGCGACGCACTGAACGCGCCCCGCCGATACCGACGCGCTTTTCCGTCCGTGCGCGTGCATATTGCTCTATATATTTATATATGTATACATGTAGATACATGTATATGGTGTCGACTAGTGGATTTTGGTTTTCACTCCTCTCTGGTACGCGGACAAAGATAGACGCGCTTCGTCTCTTTTTCGCCCTCCCTGTTGTATACGAGGGGGACGAGTGATCGGTAAGGGTCGGGTTCGATTTCCCGTCGATATCGCGCGAGCCTGAAATTCCCCTCGTCGCTGCTATCCACGCGAAAAGAGGCCTCTAGTCGAGCTTTTTCGCATTTAAATTTTGCGGTGTCTATATATTTGTACACGGAAAAAAAAAAAAAAAGAAATAGAGTCTCGGCCGAGGTCGCGAGTGCATATAGGGTTTGTCGTAGCGTGCAATCGACGACTTTGACCGCCGATGCGGTGACTCTTCCTGCAGCGAGATGATGAACTCGGCTATCTTGCGCGTCGCCCAGAAATAAACTAAGATCGGGCTATTCTTCGGCGACATTCGATGGCAGCCGTACATATACATGTAATATGTTATGTATACCCTTTTGTCGACGCTCTTTGATACATTTATTTGTCCGAGCATCTCTCTTTGTGTATATGTATATAGATGTCGGGTTGATGGCACCAGGTGCTCTCCCAAGCGCGTGCCGATCGCTCGTCACTTTTTATTTGCCGGTCGTTGCGCCGGCTCGGCGCGATCGGATGATCTGCATCGGCCATCCGTCAATCTTATACATGTATATATGTATACCTATTGTAACCTATACCCGATGCACCTTTGGCGGGTGAGATTTATGTCGGTTCGACGATCGATCGAAATACTCTGTGTACACGGAAGTAACGAGATTTTTGAGCTTTTTTTTTTTTCATTTTATTATCTGTTTGCTGAGATGCTCGTTTTTTGATAAACAATTAAAATAGTGACCTAATCTCTTATTTCATCAGAGTTAAAAAAAAAAAATTCAGTTTTTCACGAAGGACATAAGTGTCATCTTGCATGAGCCTTCTTGAGCCTATAAAAATTATTTGATCTGGTAAAATACTTACCTATATTATACGTATGTAAACATAAGGGATCAGTTTTTTTTTGTTCAAGGCCAGTCTGACCGATCGCAGGATATTCATCAGAGCTCATAATTATACCATCATAGAAATCTTTACACAGATATTCATTTGATGAAAAATTGCATCCTCCATGTGTATGTGTATATGTACGTCGTATACTAGCGAAAAATGTGTGCACCGCTTAGTCTCCTCCAATCTCTTTCTCATTACCTCGGCCTCCATCCCGTTGCGTCAACAAGTAGGTATATACATACAGATACATCATACCTAGTACACGTTCCGACGATTTTCGGGGACTCGAAAATAGGAGAACAAGGTCGCGAGCGCGTCTCTGCACGCACGTTTGCGAGATGAAATTTTTTTTTTGTTTTGTTAAAACAAGCATTTATTCTGGGAAAGTTTTTTTCTCAAAGCTCTCTTTTTTCGAGTCCATACGTATATACACGGTGACTAAGAAATATCGTGAATCAGGCAGATGATGTTATGCTCCTATATAACAATGCAATGAAGCGAAACACGTGTCGCCGGTGCCTTTGCTCTCGTAAATATAATAAAGCTCCGATAAACGATGAAACGGCGGATCACTTGGCGATGGGGGAAAAATTTGTATACGCGTTTTAACGCTGATCGTATGGGCGTAAAGTGAGTCGAAGCAAAAGGAGAGGAAACACCGCCGGCAGATACGAGGGGGGGGGAAAGGGGACGGGAAAAAGCCCGAATTAGACGTCCGGGCCGAACAAGCCGGCTCCCCCCCTACTCGTGGGGCTGATGGTCCTCGTATGATTCGCGTTTCCAAAGATCCGCAACACCTTAGCGAGCCCCTTGCTCGACACGCTTCGTTTCGACCCATCGATCGGATGGTCCTACATGTGTTACGGTTATCACTGATTTTTGCTGACTCGGCTCTACTCGGTTGGGGAGCGCGACAAAAATCAACGTTGTTACAATTATGTACTTATACAATCGAACGAACAAAAGTAACCGAGTTACTCGCCAGCTCTTCATACGTATATATACTTATTTTTAAACGCCCAAGTGTGTATTAATACATACCATTTACACATACGCGATGGATGTAACATACAAGTGTGACGTCTGTCGGGTTGTCACAAAAAATCATGTCCAACCGTTCCACGCGTTTTTACTTTTTTCCCACCAAATGTACGCAGCCTTCTCGGCTGCCTTGGATTGTATTTATATCCGAGTCTATCCCAAACTTAGTATACTACTCGGTCGCATCGAAACAATTATTTCTCTCAACGCCTCGGAGCCCATGAACCCCAGCAGCCACTCTCTCTCTCTCTTGAAATTCCAAAGTAAATCAGCCTCTTTCCCCCCGACCTTTATACGATATATCTCTACGTAAGTATATATACACCTTTACACTTATAGAGTGCAACAAACACCACCTCGACAGTGCGCCCATCAGAGCTACACGGTGCAAAAAACCCAAATGTATGTATATGTGTGTACCTACCGATGATATCAACGACGTCGTACGCAAACGCAGTTTCGGCCAATTGGCCGGTTCGCCGGCTATTATTAAAAAGAGCCGGAGGTCGGTGAGACGCCGGGCTGTTCGCGTCACTCGTGATTTACCAAGCCTCGCTCGGACGATTTCCCTCCGACAGAGTACATGATACCTACTTGTACGTGCACATATTTTTATATATTTTACGTAGGATCATGGGTGAAAGAAAGGGGGTGCACTTTGTATAGTGACGTATGTGCAAGCGACCAATTTGAGACACGTGTGACGAGGGCGCGCGTCGTGCGCTTTTTTTTTTACCTTTGGCTCTCTCTTTTCTTGGATCACCGCACGATGAAACGCTGTGATGCGCTTCCGGCTTTTTTTTTTAAGCTCGTCTGTCTGGCTAGCTGTTGATCTGTAGGAATTTTTCAACCTTCGGTTGTGCCAAAGATACTTAATTTGCCGGCGTATAGCTTGTGGGTCGAGCTGAAAGTATATATACGTTGTTTAATGTCGAGTGACAAAATCGGGATTACGAAGCAATGCTTTTGGGGATGAATATAAATTGAAATATTTACCCAAAGGAATAACAATGTAGAGGTAATTTTTATACAATTTGCTGTATGAAAAGAAAAACAACAAATACAAATACGCTTTCGGATTCGGTCGTTTGCCGAAGCGAATTCATCGACATTGTACATTTGCGATCTACACTATCTAAAACACAGGGGTAATGTCTTATAATGTGTTTGACTCCCAAAGTACCGCTCGATATAAAAAAAAAATGCCCAAGCAATCGTAAAAAAAAAAAAAAAAAAAAAAAAAACCAACTTTTGCTTCCAGATCAAGAAGATCGAGGAGCACAAGCGCAAGAAGGAGCGCAGGCAGCGCGAGCGCGAGGACCGCGAGCGCCAGGAGCGCGTGAGGAAGGCGCGCGAGGCCCAAGAGAAGGCCCGGGCCGAGGCGGCCAACGACTGTTGTGGCAACGGCGGCTGCGGTACCGGACCGTGCAGCGGCGGTGCCGATGCCGGCGGCATGCCCGGCATGGGCCAGTTCTCGCAGTTCCTCAACGATCCGGAGGTCATCCAGGCGTTCCAGGTGAGTTTCAAAGCTTTTTTTTTTTCCTACAATGAACAGGTGGAGGTTTAATTTCGCGCGTCTCGTAGGATCCGGAAGTGGCTGCGGCTTTCAAGGACGTGTCGACGAATCCGAGCAACCTGTTCAAGTACCAGAGCAACCCCAAGGTGATGAGCGTGATCAACAAGATAGCCACAAAGTTTTCGGGCGGTGCTGGTGGATTGGGCGGTATGATGGGCGGTCTGGGTGGTATGATGGGCGGCATGGGAGGGGCAGGTGGGGCCCCACCGCCGTCCAAGCCCTCCGAGCCCGATGACTTTGGTCTGGATTAGAGGGGACGAGCTCCGTTGTGTCGGAGAAGCGTCTCGCGCTACATTACTTTTATGTACGAGCCATTTGGTTCTTTTTTTTTTTTTTTTCTTTAACTTTAAGATTTTTACTCGTTTCATCGACTTATATTTGTTGTTTCTTTTATTTCATCGACTTTAATTTTTCTTTAAATATATGTTTGTATATTACATAGCATTGCGATTGATAAGCTTCCAAGTCGAGTCTGACGAGATGGTAATATTTTTTCAAGTCTACAAAAACATTTGCCTCTTTTGTTTTTCCCACTCGAGCAGAGCTATTTTTTGTTTTTTGTTTTTGTCAGCTTACTCAACTATTAACCATAGCTTTATCCATAACACGTATTACAGTTGTTATCGAATGATTACACAGTTTTTACTTGAAATTTTTTTTTTTTTTTTTTTTAATTAGGAATAACTTGATGTTTTTTCAAATTAGATATTTCGTTAGATTTTATACACGAGTCGAAAAAATGTTGCGAGCCCATACATATACATTGGCAGCTCGAGCGTTGCACTGAACATTATTGAGTTAACCGCGTAATTTTAGTGCCTATCAAACGATTACAACCCAACAGCCCGATGTGATTTAGATAAAAAGTCAGATCATGCCACAAAGTTTTTCCCAGCTGTCGGAATTAGGTAAGTCGTGAGAGTGCATTTAAGTAATCTTTATTAATAATGATCGACATTGACTTTCTCCATTTGCTTAAACATTTAACTGATCCGAAGCTACGTTCGATAAAAATGCCATCTATCGATGTACAATGGTACTTGGAACGTATTTATATATATATAAATATATATGTTTAACAGATTGTAATCTCGATTTTCCTAATAAACGCAAATTGCAAACGATCACGCGTACATTCTCATTTCGTCGTCCTCCTCTTCTCCATTCCATCTTCAACTTGATAGTGTTAATGAAAAATACATCATGATATATATAATAATAATATTTACACATGCAAATACTAATATTAAAGCTACAATTAATAAATTTTTCTTCACGATACAGTTCAACGGTTTTTAGTACAAATTTAATGGCTAACGATTGTCCTTGCTCTTGTCATTGCGGAGCACAAAAAGAAAAATATAAGATTTTAACGTACTCTAAAAGGTAATACGTCATAAAAAAACACATTCCTATCCTATTTACATCCTCAATACTTGTATACTTCTTACGTATCAAGTTCGGTTCAAACCACTAAACTTTACATTGTACAGTTGTAATTATCTACCTATGAATTTTGATTGTCATCGATTTATTCGTTCTGTGATTGGTCCTGCCTTGGGGGGACGTAAATTTGAAAACGAGGTTAAATAATTAGTAGTTATAATTTTTGCATCGAAGAAAAATTAAATTATTAAATTGTTCTAACAAAATCGGCAAGTTAAATACTTGTTATTAACTGTGAGGGGGTTGGCGCGCGAAGCGCCCAGTCCTTGGACTAATGTACACATGTATCCATGCAAGATTAAGACCAAAAAAAAATTTTTTTTTTTTTTTTACACATTTGCTGCATCTGTATACTTGTAGTGTGCGTGCGATAGACATGGGTAAACAACAACGAGCGAGCATAATCAGGCTCGTCGGATCTTGAGCATGTGCAGATTCGGGTGCCATGGCACTTTGCGGAAGGTCGATGTCCCCTCTGTCGGTCCGTCCGTCTGCCAAAAGTAATCGGCCTCGTCGTCGGTCCTCCTGCCACCGGGCGCGCAGTCGAGCTCGTCCTCAGCGCTGTAGAACCTCATGTGCCTCTGGCCCGTGGTCACGTTCCTCCTCCAGGTGCCGGGCTCGCTCGTACTCACGCGTCGTACCATCGACTGACGAGGATGGCGTCGGTGGTGATGGCGGTGCTGCCGGCGATGAGGCGATTGGAGGACGTAGGGCGAGGTCGAGCGATGGGCCACGTACGGCAGATGGGCGTCCAAGTAAAGCCAACTCGCGCTGTCCATGTAGGGGTGCAAATAGGCCCGCCGCGCCGTCTTCTCGCCCCGCTGGCGACAGCCGGAGTCGAGGTTGCGGTGCTTGCGGTAACGTTGGCTTGGCTGTTTCTTCTTCTTCTTCTTCTTGCTCTTGTCGCTGCTCCAGACCTTTGACTTGAATCTTCTCATCGAAAACGAATCGAGCACTTGTTTCAGGATAATCAAGAAAATTCCTATACTGTTACAACTAGTGTGTGCGCATACCTGAAGGAGAATTTGTCGGCCAGTGTGTGTCGTCAGTTGAGCGGGTGGTCGCTCTTGATCGTTCTGTAGCACTTGCTCCAGGCCTCGAATAGTAAAACGAAGCTGTGAAACCGATAGAATATGAGCAGCGGCAGGCCGATCCTCGAGATGACGCCCCACGCCAGTATACCGAAGAACCTGAGCTGTAGCTCTTGCGATATCCAGTTTTGCGTGACTATGGTGTCGAAGGTCCACATCACGACTACAAGCCGTTTGTCAAAACGTTATTTTAAGGTATCGTAAACTACCAACATGTGCACGTGAGATTTTAGGTGGTTCCAACGCACCATTGCTAAACAGTAGAAACGTGATGATCTGCCTGCCCGGCTTGGCCATGATCTGGACACGAGTGATGCAGCATCTCTTGGAGGCCTCGGCGATCAGGGTGCTCTGGGCGAAGCACTGGACCAGCTGCAGAGCCGACGTCGTGAGCAGGAGGATGTGCCTATCCCGCATGTCCTCGACCTCCTTGTTGGGCTCGTTTTCAGTGTCCTAATGAACCGTCCCACCACACGAATCATGTATGTATTGCCGTGTATCGTCAAACGCATCATATACCTACCTGGAGATCGAGGGTGGCCAACGAGCAGGCCGAGGCGACTATCGTGAACACGGAGTAGAGCTGAACGCCGAAGAGCGCGACATTGGACAGCAGGGTGTCGAGGGCCGCGGGGGCTCTCGTGACCACCGACATCTGCCGGATCTGCACGAGTCCGCTGGCCGTCATCAGTCCGCTGAGGGCGAGTATGGTGCCGAGGGTGCCGCAAGTCAACCAAGTCAGGGTGACGACGGGAAAATTCTCGTCCTCGCGCACCACCAGGAATATCAGGATCGCCACGATGCCAGCGACCGTGCACAGGATACCGAGAAAGAGGCCCTTGCTCGAACCGCTGCAGCCCATCCTACCCGAGCCCGGGAGGTCCTTCATGCTGTGGAACTTTTTGTGCAGCAACCGGCTCGACCGGCCGACGTTTTGGCCCATCACGAAGGTCACCGCTGCGGCTATCAAACTACATCGACAAAAACGATAGATCGGTAAGACTCGATCAAAGTTTCGTCATTTGCCTGTATATCCATGGAAAACAATGGGCACCTGAACTGAACGATGAACGGGTACAAAATCGGCATACTCGAGGTCCAGAACTGCCCGAGGGAGTTGGTGTTAAAGCACTCCTGCAAAGCGACGACCTGGGATATCTGCTCCTGGGAGATCGGCACGTACCGGTTCATCGGCAACTCCTCCTCGTAAGGGATGTCATCTGCAACGCGATACGTGAATTTATAGGTAACGGAACAAAACATCGACTTCAGCAATCGACGCTCACCGGGTATCTCGCGCGTCTGCTTGGTCAAGGAGCCGGGAAAGCCCCGCAGCTTCAGGGGCGAGGCGGCACTGAGCGGCCCGCGCTGGGCCAGGTGGACGTAGTAGGTGTACTCCTGGGCCGAGTCCCAGATGACGAGGCGCGCCCACACGGCTATGTTGGTCGCCGCCAGGTGGGTGAAGCAAAAGCGCGCCGCCAGGCCGAACCTTTCCACCAGCACCTGTTAATTGACGTCGCGTATTTAAATTCGCTTGATTGTTCGATCGGTATAGCCGTAAACATGTTACGTGCGGGTAGGTATTCTGACCTGCGATCTGACGAAGAGAAAGTGCATCATGAGGAAGGTGAAGAGCCCGTGCAAGACCGGGTGGACGAAGATGATGTCGTTGAGGCACTCGGCGCCCTGCATCATGTAGTGCATCGCCATCTCCAATCCGTTGAACACAAGCGCGGCTAGGCCGAACACTGCAATCACACGCGCGCGCGTTGATTCATACATATATGTGTACATATATTTTTCACCCAAAGTGTATGTAATATTATCCGTGGCTTCCCCAACATACCGATCAACTCCACTTTCGTGATTTTCAAAAAGTGCAATGGACTTCCTTGCTACGAGTCGCTTTTATAAGAGAAAATATATATATGCCATGCTTTGCAGCTCACTATAGTTAGTTGTTATCGAGTAGTACATTTTATTACTCAAACACAGTACTGTATAGTACTTCGTACTAAAACGATGATACCGACGAAAAGTAACACGATAAAAAGGTCAAAATGACCAAATACAGTATTCTTAGAAAATCATCAATTTTTCGCTGCAGCAACGATTTTTTTACATCGCTTGTTCGGTTTGGCCGGGAAAATGGCAGTTAATCGGCCAAGTTTTGTCCCGACAACGGGAAATCGGTAACTCGAATCATTTAATAAGTTTGTGTGGACGAAAGTATGTACACTAAAAAAAGATGTGATTCGCGGGACTACCTCAATTTTGAAAAAAAAAATGAAGTTAACCGGTTTGCCCGGGAAGCCACAGACATACACCCACGATGATCAAACAACCCACCAACAGCGATATGCCGAGGAGTGACTTTTAACATTAACGTACGCGATTTGCAATAAACGCGTGAAACACAATGCCGATTGCACGTGAGCTTGCAGTCTCGCGATTTCGAAACTGCCGACTTACCGAGCGCCCCGACTCTTATGTAAAAGCTCGTGGGCGCGGTCTTGGATCGGGATATGTGGGCGCGCTTGAGGGAGCCGAACCTCGTGAGCGAGGCGCCGCCGAGCTCCGCGTCCCGCAGACCCGGCCCCGAGCGCAGGCTACCGCAACTGTCCACCAGGACCCACATGTAGATGCCGATTATCACGACGATACTGCCCACGTACATGTATATCAGGAATATACCCTGTGGACAAATGTCTTTTATTAATTTTTTTCTTCTTAGGTAAGTACATATATAAAGTGCCGCTACGGAAAATATATTGTACATCTAAAATGCACACGGTATAAATATACAGGTTTACAAGTGTCTATATGTGTACGCGTCGGGGGGACTGTGGATGATCGCGATGTTTCGCGGAACGATATAGCCCGCGGCTCGTTGTGCCCCTCGTCTCTCCTCTGACGGATGTGGTATTGTTGTTGCTTTCAATTTGGAAAAAAAAAAAAAACTCCGAGCGAAGAAAGGAGCTCGTCTTTAGGCGCGCGCGGTACCGCAGCCAATGAGAGCGAGTACACGGTGCACCGGCTTTGATTGGCAGGCCGCAAAGATTACGCCTAGCGTCCAGCTTATTATTACTGTACGTAGCTCGACGCTTTCCGGGATTTACCGATACTCGAGTTACCTTTCTCTTTTTTTTTTTTCCCCCTTTTTCAACAATACACTTTCCGCTGAATTGCTTAACGAAAAAAACCCCAACTCTTGGCTCCCGTCCGGTGACATGACAAGGTGTGCTTGTGCAATAAGGGCTCATCTGGCACCTCCGATGTGTCATCGATGTTTACGCGTCCGATGGCCCATCGCATACACGAGGAGACACGAGCGAGCCGGTGCGTATATGGATTCTTCGCGCGGCTGGTGAGGCAATTTCAAATCGTGCGAAACGCGAGGAACGAAAGGGAGGTATGCGGGAGAAGAGGGAGCACGTAATTGCGCGACGTACTTCCACGCGCGCGCGTCTTGTGACGTGTACATAACATACCCACGCGCGGTGTGCGTCATCCTATACCTCCTTGTGCTTCTTCATCCTCTCGGCTTCGTTTAACGTGCAGTTTGCAAAACCCGCTTGGATCCCGAGGGAGTGCTACCGATGGATCAACAATTTTTTTCGTTTCGAATCCACAAATGAGCGAATTCGGCCAGTACGTGTTTAATTTAATATATCGGTCGAAACGACATTACCTTGCCACAACGGGTTTCCCCCGAATGATACCCTTCGAACCGTATACCATCACCTAACGGATCGCGCCACACTACGTAATGTGTTTATGTATAGTACACGGTATACGCGCTCACCAGAAAGTTGAATTTACGCGCGACACATCTCCAAGTGCCATCTCTCTCTCTCTCTTTTTCTACTTACGTTGCTCTCCACATGTGGTAAGGATCGCGACGACAGGTTTTTATTGTTCGCGGACGCGCGCGAGAAATATTTATCGCCAAAGTGTTTGCGCACTTTGTACGTGTGATGGAAGGAAGCTTTTCCCAGCGCAAAGGTTTGGCGAGGTTCCTCGAAAAGTGAGCCATCCCTTTTTCGAGGTGGATATGAATTAAAAGTATGAATAAAGTTCCCTCGGGCCACGCGCTCCGTCAGCCGGTTCCAAATCGGTTTACGATCGAGATTTTCGGTCGAGAGCTCTCGCAAAAAAAAAAAATAAATAAATAAATAAAAACATACACGCGCTCTTCGTTGTTATTTTTGCGGTCGAAAGGATCGGAATGCCGTACGGCCACGCCGGTATTATTAGGGCTCATCTCCGCGGGCGCTCCCTTTTCCGCGTTTATGGCTCGAGAGGGGACTTTTTTTTTTTTTTTCTTCCTTCGACGCTTCCTATCGTAAAAAACACGCGAGAGAGTCGCGCAGTCGCGTGTAACTTTCGGCCCCTTATCTCTTTATGCGGTGCGACGTTACCCTTTTTCTTTCTTTGCTAAAGGATTGTGAGTACGATATAACGTAACAGAGCTAATTGAGGAAAATACGACGAAACTCGTTTTTCGTGCTTTGCTCTGGATGAGGACTGTTTTTTTTTTTCCCTTCGTACCTGAAGGCTGAGCAGTGGCACGGGCGTGTCCATGACTTCGGCCAGGCACAGGGCCATCGTGATCACTATCACGAGCTGCCCGTACACGTTCGACAGGACTATCCATAGTTGCGAGCTAGAAAACAATAATAACCATCAACCAGTGTTATCATTTGCGCTCTTATAAAAAAAGGTGACGCAAAATAATCGGCACAGCTATTCATGTACTATAAATTGTCTTCCAAACCCAAAAAAAGTTGAAATGTCTAGGACATTTAAGTAAGTTTTACGCGTAAATCGTTTGTGATCGTTATGGGTTACGAATCGGTTACATGCAGGAGTACAGTATACTTACGTATATCCACCCCCCTAGAATTAATCTCAAGGTCAAGTTATTGGTCGAAATCGTTTTTTACAAACAGGGGTCTGATCGATATCTCGCTTAAGTAAGCAGTTTTTTTGATAATCCCTAAATTACGCATGCGCGTTATTGTTATTTTTGGTTATTTTATAGGGATTATCTAAAAAACTGCTTATTTAAGCGAGATATCGAATGCCCCCGGTCAGACCCCTGTCAGTTAATATTGTTTCGACACACTTTTCCATTGGGTAAACGAAGTGAAAAATATGAATACGAATAATTTGATTATCTATTGGTGACTCACAATGGCTCGGAGTGGTCCAGGAGGTCGTCGGGGGTCCTGGAGCGCGCCAGTATCCTCGACACGAGCGACTTGGGTGACGACGGCGAGTGCGAGCGTTGCTGGCGAGAGTCGCGTTCCGGTGACGATTTGTTGTCGGCGCCGCCCGAGGTGCGGACCTGCTGGTGCCGGCCGTTGCCGTTCGAGGGCCCACCCGCGGCCCCTCCCGGGCCCCCGTCCACCGTGTCGCCCGTCGTGCTCCCGGTCTCGTTCAAACTGTCCTTGTCGTGCTGCTCGTTGTTGGCTGCCGATCAAACCAAAAAGAAAAAAATACGAAACCATATCAATTCTCTTTCTTTCTTTCCCTCCCCCCCCCCAAGCAAAACTGCCCTTTGTACGAACTTTTATTGTGGCGTCGTTGGACGCGATAAATTAAAATACATCCGCGAACTGGTCGCGCCGCCGCGATGAAAATTAAAGTTACGACCCCGCCAACAGGTTTTTCCCTCTATGGTATCCCTACGTGCGCGTTCATTTGGTACTCGGCGTCGAGTGGAAAATCCTCCCCGAGGGATCGTTCGACTTGGTACTTTAGTGACGTCATAAATTATATCACGTGTGCTTTTATTTAGGTGCGCGTATATGTATACTCATATTATGTGCACATTACGCAGGGATAAGAGTTTGTTTGCGACTTTCCTCTCACCGATCGCAGATTGAAGCGGAGTAACAACCGAGCCCTTGTGCGTTTTTTTGTGTGTGTAAGGAATCGAGCGATATCAAAAAGGTAAAGAGTACGCGTATAGCTTCCGACCGATGAATGAACCAGAGAGAAAGAGAAAAGAAAAAGAAAAATGATGAATAAAAGCTGGGGGGAAAAAAAAAAGGATGTGGAGCAAACTTTTTACATAATAAGCAGTTATCGGACAATCGCTACAACTGTACATACGATTTGCTCGATAAAAATCTCAAAGGCCACTTTCTCTCTCTCTCGTTCCCTCTTCGCTGCAACACAAGTATCATCATCATCCCGATACGTACCGAGTGTGCGGGTGAACGCATAATTACAACGTTAGCCACACAAACTTGCCGATCTATGTACAAGAGAGTGAGTATATTAGGTATATACTTGTATGGTTTTCCTTTCGCCGTTGCGCTACACCCATCCTTGCGTGCGATGTAGTACAACTGTGTTTTTTTTTTCTTTTTTTTTTTTTTTTTTTTTTTTCACATGCGCGCATCTATACGTGTACCAGACGCGCGCGTGAGTCCAGCCGTGCGTATTACACTTATACGTTTCTCGTGCCTAATGCGGGGATAATGTAATTCTAAGAATCTCGCGCGCATCAGTGACAACAACGGATGGAGCCATACATACATACAATGATTATCACAATAAATCCGTTTATAACGTATGGATACAAAACGCATTTACGCGTGTGGTCGTTCGTTTGTATACATATATATATATATATATAGAAGCGAGTAGGTGCGTTAAATTGCGTACGATTCGACGGGAGAAAATTTTTCTTTCCGCGTCGCGGACTTTTACCCCCGTGGAACATCGTATTGTACCGAGTTGCTCAGTGGTACTATACATAACACGTGCTTGGTTGTAGCGAGCACAGCTTTTGCTTTCGCGATCGAGAGGTTGCCGATCTCTCGGGATATATTTATTTACCTGTACCATTCATTAAGTATATCTCGAGAAATTTCAGTGATACGTATGTACACGTCTTTCGATTTTTAGGTAGGTGGACCCACGTTTACTTTTGAACACACAAAAAAGATGTGTATATTAATTGTGTATAAAGTGAAAACGATCCATACATTACGGACTACTCGTCGATGGAGGAAAACGAAAAAACCAGCAGTGCAACGCTCGAGCTGCATCCGATCGACCGCGCTAAGGTGTATGATATTGCTCGATTATCGATGATAAATAAGCCATGACAATGGGCCATTTAATAAATGGAGGAAAAGTAAAAGTATCGAGGAAGAGCTCGACACACCTGCGGCGCATCAGCTCTTATTAAATAAGTGCATTGCGTATCCACGCAAACGAGGAAGAGAAGCAAGGTGTACTTGCAGAATCGTTATTTGTGTTGGGTATTGATCTGATATATTGCGTGTGTATGCTTTGGCGGGAACGCATTGTTTTTTTTACAAGCAGTAGGTATACACGGGACGGGAGAAAGTTGTTAAAAGGCCGCTTGGGGAAAGAGGATGAAGGGTTGGAGGAGTATACTTGGAACGGAACGAGTTGTAATTTAGTTAGAAATATCGTATTTGCCGATTTTTCAGTGCGTTACGACCATCGGAACTGTCGATATTGAAATCGGATGCAAGTTGTTTCTCTTTTTTTTCTTTATTTGTGCGCGTTAACATTTTTTTTTTTTTTTTTTTGAATTGACCATACCGAGTTGACGTGCGATATTTTCTAAAAGATGCGAGTGGTTATGATATTACGCCGTGTTTATTATTAATTAAGACGTGTGTGTCTTTGTTTTACTTAAAAAAAAAAAAATAATAATATTAATAAAATTAATATTATATGAACAGGACCGATGGAGGGTGAATAATTTTTTTTATTATTGTTTTTTTTTTTCTTCTTTATCGATTGAATCGACGAAAATTTGAATGTCGATCAAGTCAAGTGGAATCGAATTATAATTCAAATTCGTGATTTCAGAATTTATTTTTAAACGTTATTTAATATACTTATGATGTAAGAGATGAACAAACGGCTTTTGAAGATTCAAATGAACAACGTGAAAGCACAAACCCCCGAAACTCGAACGGCATAAATATGTGATTTTTAACGGCGCGAACGTGAGCATTTGTATTTTCTAAGGGATGATTGAGACAGGTTACTGATAACTCTGCACGACTATGATGCATGGCACACTAAAAAAAAAAAAAGAAAGCGAATTGATAGCTAAGACTCATATTTATTTGTTTAAGCGTCACTATGGCGGTACGTCACATCGTGTCCTTTTGTAATTATTATAACAACGAGATACTTTTGTGGCAACAGCTCGAGTCTCGAAGTGATTCGTACCTCCGGCAGAAAAATTACGTCACGAGCTCAACTCAACCAACTGACCTACGCTAGTTCGCGCAGTTGAAATTGTTTTTAACGATACATTTTTAACTTGTCAAAACAAAAAAAAAAATCGTTCTACTCACGTGTGCAAAGTACATCCAATTAGAATTCTCGGACTCATAGCACTTTCGATGCATATTAAAAAACAATCAAACCTGTGCTCTATGAGAAAAGAGAAAAAAAAAAAAAAAAAAAAAAAAAACCAATTGACGAACCACACGAACGCGTCGTCCTCGACTCAACGGCACTCGAAGTTACGGCAAGCGAGGCGCAATGCCAAGTGCATAGTCCAAGACCGGAGTCTAATAAGTTAAGGAAAATCGCAGCAGTAGCGCCGAGAGCGAGCAGTGGAAAGAAAGGAAAAAAAAAAAAAAAGAAAAAAAGTAGCCTCTGTCGGTCGCTTATGTTCCCACTGCACGTACATGTGTGTACCTATAGAGACGTTGCAGCGAGAGGCGCGCAAAGGAGGAGGAATAATCGTCGCGATATACCGGTTCGGCTTTAGCCTCCTTTTCTGATGATGGCGCCGACGCCGCTGCTGCACTTTTGTGTCTTATCATCCCGGGCACCATATGGTCGGCTTCTTCCACCACTGAATGTCCCAGGAGTTTCTCGGCTTCGTGTCGATTCTCTCTGGACCGAACTTTTTTTTTTCTTTTCTGCAAAGTGGAACTTCCTTTGTATGCCTCGATACCGTCCTGCTCCCTTGCGTGCTTTTTTTTTTCTGCACGGCAATTAGAGTAAATGGGAGGATTTGTCCGAAACGCCGTAACAACGATAATTTCGGTTTTCTTGCTTTCAATGCGATTCCGGAATCGGCGCGCGATCGCTACGCGGTGAGGGAAAATTCCCACGCGGTAATCACGTACAATAAGAGATCTTCTTTTTCTCGAAAAGCAGCCGCGCTCCGTGAAATTTTCAAAGCAAACACGGCACACAACGAGCTCACTCGATCAATCATGTAGATGGTACGTACACATAAAAGGCCATTTCGCGCGATTTCTACGATGTCCCTGGCATCTGTCGCGTCTTCTCACTGGACTCAAATTATAATGTAACGATAAAACGTAGGGGAAATAAAAAAAATATGTATCGTTCGTCAAGAGGGGAAAGAGTTGAGCTAAGCGTGAAAAACCCTCGTGGCCGATGAAAAAATCGCACGGTCGGTTTAGCCGAGCAATCACACGCGGTGTGTAACGTTCGGTGCTCCTGATGCGCGTGTACTTACGTGGTGTTCCAGAAAACACAGACGCCGGAAAAATTCTCGTTATACGGTAAAACCCGCGTGAGTTTCATCCTGCGGTCATTAAAGCCTTCGCACCGGTCAAACACCTGTCGTCGTGTCTTCCCTGTACGTACGTATATATATAACGTTATCGTGCTTCGGTTGCGGGTATATCGAGTACTCGCGAAAAGACGAGATTTTTCATCTACGTGGGTATACGTATATATCAAATTGTTTGGTCATGACTCAGGCTTGGCTTACTTTTTTTCATATCGTATGACTTATTTTAATAGATAATCCATCCGTGGGGTCGCAGTAAATCTTTTTCCTGTACGTTTTCTTCAAAAGGATCGTAATTTCATGGTCCGAGCGTGAATAATTTTTCAATTTGCTTTCAACGAAAATTTTAATAAAACAAAAAATGTATCACGATTTGAAAGAACAATTTTTTATTTCAAATAACGGCGTCGAATCGACATTCTTGTGAACAAAAAAAAAATGCATATTATCAAGGGAAAAAGAAAATTTCTCTCAAAGTGTTTGAAAACTGATAAAACGATCGTGGTCACTTCGAAACAAAAGAGTAAAAAGTTGAAAAACAAAATTGTTCTCTGCGCGAGTTTTATTATTTTTTTGTTTCAGTCCCGCAGGAATGACGGACAGTCGAGTATGTGTTTGATACATGAAAAAAAAAATAAAGAAAAGAGTAGAAAGTAGCCCTTGGCCTAAATGGACGACAGACACGGAACCGCAATGAAGAAGCATATACATATATATATATACACAGGGTAACCGTACTGACGCTGCAAACCGATCAACCAAAAGAAACAACTCACCCATCGATCAAAACGGAAATGGAATCTTTTCTCTAGTGTTGGAGAGAAAAGTGCTTGTTTAAAAATCATGTGCGAGGTAAAAACAAAAAAAACCAAGCCACCATAAATATATACACGCACCCCCCTACGGACCGTGA